GGTTGTGAAAAGGGGCATAGCCAGTTCGTGCCTGGGGGCTTCCCTCAGAAAGTCATGTTTGCACAGTGCGCAAGGCAGCTTTGAGGGTCAGATAGAGCGCCTGCAGAGGGCTGGTTTTCCGCTGAGATCTTTGGTTGGAGTGGCAGAAAGCTCAATCAAAAAGATTAAAGGCAATCAGAAATCAAACCGCGATTAACCGACTTAGAGGCCTGTTGTCATTCTATATATGCACAATGTCACGCACAAATTAAAAAAAGGTAGCCCAGCGCTACAGTGTTCCGGTAGTTTTCTCAGCGCCCAATAAGATGGCGCGACTTTGTCACCAGATAAATTCCCCACAGCCGCCTTCAGATCCCTGCACTACTAAATACCGAAATAAGTATGTCGAATGCGCCACTGGCGTCGTCTATGAGATCCCCATGACGTGTGGGATGACATACGGGGGCCAGACGGGCTGGTACGTTAATGATCGCACCCAGGAGCACGCTGCCTCTACAAGAACGACGCCTTCGGGGCACCTTGCAATTCATTGTAATAGATGCTCGTGCACCAAGATTTTGGCTAGGCACAAAGATAAAGTGTCGCGAGAATTGCACGAGGCATTTGAAATTAGGACCAGGGAGAAGAAATGGTGACACGTCCCTAGGGTGCTTTCATGTGCACTTTGCTTAGGGTGGTGGCATCTCGCCATTTTGTCACACACGATTATTTTTATTTTTTGTTCAGAAGCGCGTGAAAAAGCGTGTCCCTGCACGCGTTTGTGGCGCTGACTGTGCTACGGCGACATTTTGTTTTCGTCGATTTCTTTGTATTTTCCCCGTGAGCGCGTGCTGTCGGCATCGGGTACTACAAAGGGTGGCATCACCCTAAACAGAAAGACATTGAGGCACCCTACACGTCCCTATCCTTATCTACAAAGGAGTTTGAAATTTCGAAACGTGGGCTGAGCAGATAGGGTAAACAGGGTTTTTGGCTATATAACGCGTGAATTTTCAATAAATTTCTTCAGTTGAGAGTGCGCCTTGTCCTGTTTCCCTTCGTCTGTGTCCCTGTATTTATTCGGCGCTTTTTGTTCGCATAGAATGGAATCTCGTTCTTCGTCGTTATCCGTGTGGTGCTGCGTCGACATTATAAATATCCGTGGTAATCTAATTTTTACTGAAATGTGAATAACACGTTTGTGTGATTATTGAAAGTGCGTTCTTCGTGGTTGTTTATTAAGACTAATTTGATTTTATTGCCTTTACCGCGTTTATACTAGAATCTTGACTGTATTAAGGTTATAGTATTATTGTATACAAAATAAGTTATATTTTGTTTTAAGGCAGCTCGAGCCCATAGGGAGAAGTAAATTAGTTGACTGTAAATGGCAAGTTTAGTACCCCTGCCACACAGCAAAGTTACTATATTTTCATTAAATGATATGAGATTTAGTCAGCTCGCGGTCTTGAGTGATTATACGAGCGTCGCAAGCTGATTTGTCGACCCCATAATGTGATTCGATCGAAATTACATTACTTTTACCATGTCGCGGGGGTATAATGCTAGAGTTCAGTGACTGCATGCGATAATATCGCTTACATGATCGTAAGTGACACTTGTCTCGCCGTGTCCACGTTGACTACGTCTACCTGATTTAGAACCGTGATCTGTTTTGCTATGTCTAAACACTGCATGTCTCGCCCTTTTTTGAAGTATTTCTGTATAAAATATTCATTCCTGCAGCAATAATTGCGTGACTCACTGTTTTCGACTTAACACAATCCCATTTTTCTATAGACGTTTTATACGCATACCTCGTGCCATTTCGAACCGATTATTTAGAGGTGTGATACTTTGCCCATATACTAAAATGTTTTCTAGCCTTGTTGCTATGTGCAGCTTTCATTTTAGCTAATATGACACGCGTATGGGACTAAAAGCGCGTTGCGACGGTTGATCTACGCGCGTTGTCTTCGCTTCGACGTGCGCCCAGCGCTTCCTTTGCGACGTCACGAGAAGAGCGCTACGGCCTTAGTTTCTAGGAGGTGTTGGGGGAATTCTCCGGCGCGGGAAAAGGGGGCACAGGGAACCAAGGACGTCATGAAGCAGGCTATTTTTTGCTCGTTTTTATAACTTTAGTATGCCCATAACTTTTAAAACAAAGCGAATTTCGAGAATTTTTTTTTTTACTAAGTTACTACGTTCAGTGAACTCACGTTCAATGCAAAGAAAAAAAGCAGTAAAAAAGTTG